AAATATGTCCAGTGGGCTTTCCTTGTCAATCATTATTTGCTGGATGTTCATACAACTGGGCCTCTGGTCTGAGTATAAATTCACGTAGGCATAAGAGCATCTCTACAGGTTTGAGGGGAGAGGAAAATGAGAGAGCAGGGGGTTGCTCATCGCTGCTGAATCTTGTACACTGGAATCTTATTCTCAATTTGTCATGTTAACCTGAGCTGGGAAACCTGAGCTTGGTCCCTTAGAAACCACCAATCCTGCCCTTTTTCGGTACTGAAAGTCGCTTTCTGCTAATTATCCAGTCAGATTCCCTTTCCAAATGATCTCCTCCAGGAAGAAGGGCAGGGTAATAGCACCCAATCCAACATGCCCTGGGGTGGGAGTCAAGACAACTGTGTGCAATTAAATCTAGTAAACCTCACTGTGATATTTTAGGGTACGTTCAGGGACTAGAGGATCAGGGTGGTAAAAAGTTTGGGGTAAATCCCATAACTAGATGGGATGGAGCGAGTATCCCAGGCTGAATTTTACCGATTCACTGAAAAACTCTTCAAGGTCCCTGTAAACCTGTACAATATGGAGAAATACTTGTTCCCTTGCTTATTCTCAAGATATTGGCCTCGCCCAGCTTCAGTTAAGGAAAGGACATCTGCTGTGTATTTTCGTCACCATTAAAATTCCTGAGAGTTTTGGATACTTGATGTCCTTCACCCATAGCAGTTTATTTTTTTTTAAATATTTATTTATTTGACAGAGAGAGACACAGCGAGAGAGGGAACACAAGCAGGGGGAGTGGGAGAGGGAGAAGCAGGCTCCCCGCGGAGCCGGGAGCCCGATGCAGGGCTCGAGCCCAGGACCCCGGGATCATGACCTGAGCTGAAGGCAGACGCTTAACCGACTGAGCCACCCAGGCGCCCCACACGTAGCAGTTTAGATCCAACTTTATCGTTAATTTACAGGCCAGTTGATAGACCCAAGTACCATTTTTGGGAGGCATGATCTGTGTCAACATACATGTGGCATTACTGAATGAAAAACACTTCTTACATATACAGTGGAATATTCCTTAGCCAAGAGAAAAAGGAAACCCTGCCATTTGGGACAACATAGATGGCCCCTGAGGACATTATGTTGAGCGAGAAAAGTCAGACAAAGACAAATATGTATGATCTCATTTACATGTGGAATCCAAAAAAAGCCAAACTCACGAAAACAGAGAGTAGGACGGTGGTTACCAGGGCCTGAAGATTGGGTGAAATCGGGGAGATGTCAGTCAAAGGATACAGACGTGTGACTGGAAGATGGGTAAGTTTCGGACAGCTAATGCACACCACAGTGATCACAGGCAATGATACTATATTATATATGTCAAAGTTGCTAGCAGACCAGATCTTAAATGTTCTCACCACAAGAAATAAATGGTAATTATGGGACGTGATAGAGGTGAACACTGAGCGAACACTTTGGTGGTTGAAATCACAGTGTATGTATGAAATCTACACGTTGTACACCTTAAACTCATATAATGTTAGATGTCAATTATATCTCAATGAAAAAGCACATTTCTTAGCTGTATGCCAAACACCTATATCAGCTTTGATGACAACAAGCTTTTAGGTTAAACCTCTCAAATTAATAAAACTATGATATCAGTCCACTCTTAAGTCAATTAGCAAAGACTCAGGCTCTCTTATCTATTTTGAGAGGGACGCAGGCTCCCAGCCTCTTAGGCCATTACTGAGGATTTTGATATTTTTTCCCAGTGAAAGCATTTCATCAGGGGAAATCCAGGATCTGAAGTGGGTTCTGAAAGATCACTTTAGCTGCTGGATTGAGGATGAATTCAAGGTGACAGAGCAGACTGGGAGGGAACCAGTGGGGGTGACTGACGTATACGCCCTCAGAACGGCTAATAGTTGGATATGCATGTCATAGTACCCACACGTGTGTGCATATGCACACACACACACACACACACACACCCAGCTATCTGTGTGCGGAGTCCTACACGCAGAGGGTCGATTAGCCTGCCTTCGCAGTAGAAACGGATGCACCGGGCTCACCCTCGGACAGGAACCGTGTTCAGCCCTCATTCTGGGGCTGTGCCCTGTCCGTGAAAGTGGGTTCACCAGCCTGTCCCAGTGCAGACTCTGCAGGCACCGGGGCCAACCCTGATGCACACAGAGGCAGGCTGTAGCTGAAATGCCCCAGGGGCCATTCAGGAGAGGGCTGGGAAGGCACTTCTTTTCCTTCTCTAGAGCATCAGCGGACACGTTGCTTCCTTCCTGTCTGGCCTTGGTTTGTGGTTCAGTTGCTGCGGGCTCTTCACCCTTGCATGGCCCTCGGGGCCTGCAGAGCCCCGGGATGCATCACACAGAAAGAACAGGTTCGGGATTTGTCTGCCCACTTGGGAAGAAATGGGGTAGCCCCGGCCCCTCCCCAGGGACAGAGAGCGGCAGAAGACCACGAGCACACAGTATGCACCAAATGTGATGGTGAAAATGCTTTTGCATGTTTTCAATTCCCAAGGACACCAGCTTTAAAGACTGAAGGCCATGTTTGGTTTTCGGAGGATGAGCAGCCTTCTGAACGTGAAAGGATCAGGTGGCTTTGATTTATCATCATCATGAGAAATGGGAGTTTTGTTTTGTTTTGTTTGTTTTTGTTTTTTAATCCCGCTGCTCTGCAGGAAATGCTTTGGAGTGCTTGACAAAGAGCCCTGGTCTCACTGGCCATCCCTCTAGGCCCTGGGATCAAGTAGGAGGGCCAGCCCGTTATTGCCTTGCCAGCCCGTAACGTTGAACTTCTTGCGTGTAGGGGTAGTTCTTAGCCACAGACATTTCCACCTGACGCCTTGCTATGCTCCTGTGGCCCGAAGAGCTCCCGCTTGGCTTGATTATTCAGGGCTCCAGTGTTGGCCTGTCTCTCTTGTGAAGTCTCTGTGCTCGACATCCCCAAGATTCTGGAGGCAAAACCCAAAATGTAATGCTGAACTTGGATGATGAAGCTCACCCAGAGGAAACACACCTGGGCGCAGGCAGTTCATATTGGGAGTAGGGGCCCTCGGGGTGACAACCAGCCCCACTGCCGGTCACCTGAGCTTCGGTGCTTCCTATGGCTAAACTTGACTTTTGAGTGTATTTCTTTAAGCTCCATTTTAATACTTCAGAAGCTTAAGCAGGGCAAGGTGGGGGGGAGCAGTTCTGAGAAGTGGTTTCGCATGAGGATCTAGACCCGGGTACCAAGGGTGGCAGCTCATCTCTCCTCTTCCAGGCCAGACGTACAAGCATGCTGAGACACCGTGGCCCTGGGGCCTGGGGGGGCCACCTCGGGTCCCGAGCTGCGTCAGCCAGCTACCCTTGTGGTGCCCTGAGGTTTGCGCCTCCTGTAGGGGGTCTGCACGCCTGAAGATGGTCAGCACGCACGGTTCCAGGCCGCGCACACGGGCTCACCCAGTTCTTATAGACCTGGATCCACCCTAGCGAGGACCTCTCGAAGCCGGATTTCTCATGGCTGCCAGCTTTCAGCTCTAGCTGACCTCCGCCTGGGACCATCCAGTTGACAATTCCTCCCACACCCTGAGCACTGCCGCGGCTGCGCACTCTGCTCCGTGTCTCCAAGAGCAGGTGTGGCATCAACATGCTCCGGCCTGGTGACGACTTTTAGGATGCCTCACTTAGGAACTCCCCGACGTTTAGAAAGGTATCCTGGGAATATACTTCTGGTGCCAGCAAGCTTGGCTGGCCAAGAACAGAGAGAATATTCCATGAAAGAGGAAACACCCCTTTTCCTGCCTTTTTGCCAGACCCTATAGGGGGAAGTGGGTCAGCTGAACTGTCTCCAGCCCAATGCAGTCCCTCCTTGTCAGTGTTCCAAGGGTAAGCGACAGGGTCTTTTATCTGGGTGGCATTTTACAGCATGTTGTTGCTTTGATTATCAACACCTCCCAACCCCCAAGGAACTAATCAGTTTGTTTGCCTACTATGTTTTTTATGCTTTGCATAAAGAATAACAGAATTTTGGGGCACCTGGGTGGCTCAGTCGTTAAGCGTCTGCCTTCGGCTCGGGTCATGATCCCAGGGTCCTGGGATCGAGCCCCACATCGGGCTCCCTGCTCAGCAGGAAGCCTGCTTCTCCCTCTGCCACTCCTCCTGCTTGTGTTTCCTCTCTCACTGTGTCCCTCTCTGTCAAATAAATAAAATCTTTAAAAAAAAGGATAATAGAATTTTGGAATGGGGATGAATCCCATCCTAGTTCCTAAAGTGTCACTACCTTTTACAGTGAAGTGACGGAGTCCAGGGGGTTAAGGGACTGCTGAGGCTCCCTGCTGCATTGGCTGCTCCTCAGGGGGCTCCTGCCATGTGGCCCCCACACAAGCTTGGCAGGATGCGATTTCAAGCTCTACACAGTGGTGCTGGGTTAATGTTCCATCTGCATTTAAGTGTCTTTTCTTTTAGAGTTTTTGAAAAAGTGTGTTAAAGAATTCGGGGTCTTTGTGCATACACGTCTTGGAGGGGGATGGTGGGTTTGAAATTAATTTGAAGAACGATAAACAGAGTGAACAAGGGAGCCCGCTGGGGGGCGGTAAATGGATTCCATGCTATGTGGACCTCACAGACCAACTACTGGATCCTTCCTTCCCCAACCTCCCCTCCCTGCCCCTTTTCCATCATAACAAGAGCTGCCATTTGCCCACCAGGTATGGTACAAGAACCTCAACCCTCCCAGTCACCCTATGAGGTAGGAATTATTATTCCCATTTCACAGAGGAGGAAGCCGAGGCTCCCAAAGTTGAAGCCACTTGCCCCCAACCACAGAGCTTGGTAAGTGGCGGAATTCTATTTATCTGATTCCAAGGAGTAGAAAGCCACTCTTTCCACTTCAGGTTGGTGAACACATCACTTTGCATCTCAGGACCCTGTTAAAGTCCCGCGACGCAGAGAGGTCCCACCCCATAGTCTCTCTGCTTTATGCAGAGGACCTGTGCCGGCAAGACTGACCCCTTCGTCTACCTGCAGAATTCTCCTTCCGATTCCGGCAGCAGGAGGGAGGCCATGGGGTTCTTCATCAGATCGGCCACTGCAGGGTCCCTGGGTGTCACATAGAAGAAAGGAACCCCAGTGCTGTTGTTCAAGGGGCCATCGCTGATGGGCAGGCAGTTCCCAAATGGCAGTCCTGGGATCTAACAAACAGCGAAAAAGGCTTTTTCAATGCAGGGTTTTGGATTGATCTGAGGCAGGAGCTTCCTTTGTGTCTCTGGCCAGGAAATATAGCCACGGGGATGGCATGGCATCACCATGGTTTCAACAGGTAGTACATGAAGGCACAGTGGTTCCCAGCTGACCCAGTTCACCCAGGGATGGGTCCAGAATTTCTACGGAAGTGCTGAGCAGGGGCATTCTGTTTGGAAGAACAGCTAGGGGATTATTCTTGAAGCTCCTGCATATACATAGAAAAATACTCCCTTTACGAAATTTAAAGTTATTTGTGGGAGGGGCGATGAAATTTATGGAGCGGTTCTAGAACCCTTCCCACATGCTGCCCGTGGAGGGCCCACTCTCACAAGGTTTTGGAAAACTTCAGGGATAGAACTTAGGTCTTAACTTTAATATCTTATGTGATTTTTGGACTCCGGGAACTTTCTATTACTGTTTCTTTTAGAGCCACGCCATTTTCTTTTTTTTTTTAATTGTAATCAATATTTCATTATACAATTCAGCAACTCACCCTGAAGTCACAGAAACATGCTACACTTACTTTTGTTCATGATCATCCTGTGGAGGAGGTGAAGTTCTCAGACATATGTGCAAATACTTCTTAGGTTTTCCCAAGCCCTGCTGCGTCCTGCATCCCAAACTTCATGAGCTTTATTTACCCTTTACAGAGTGCTCTTTATTGTCACTGAGCTCAGAACTCAGGGGCTGTCTTTGCATAAAGTGTTACATGGTAGCAGTGTGTGTAGACTTGGAATAAGGGATGGCTTTCATCTTTGAAGGAGATGCAATGATCAGGAGTCTTCAAAAATGGTAATATAAGTTCAATTCACAGACTGTTTTTCAGCTTGTCATAACTGCCTACAAGTCATGCTTCGCACACGTGATGTATACATGGGAAATGTTTCCTGAATGTACTGAATTTGGATTAAATGTCAATACTGGAAAGGGGAATTCCTAACAAAGCTAAGAAAAGAGATGTTGAAAGTCAAAGTATCTTCAGTACATTGGCACCAGACTTTTAATTGCTTTTAACAATCTGTGTATTTTTTTAAACATTCACTCCATCTAGCTCCTTCTTTTTTTTTTAAAGTTTATTTATTTCTTTAAGTGATCTCTACATCCAACGTGGGGCTCAAACTCACAACCCCCAGATCGAGAGTCGCATGCTCTTCTAACTGAGCCAGCCACGTGCCCTAAAATAATTTGTATTTTAAACCAAGATCAGCTTCATATCCTTGTAAGGTGTGTCTTATGAGCATAATATATAACTGAGAAACCATCTGGATGCTGTGACAGTGGTTCAGATCACTGCCATAATCAGAATAAACTTACTTATTTTTAAAGAGTAAAACAAGAACTTCAAAACTACATAGTCAACCACTAAGTTTCATATAGGAGGAAAGCAAAGTGGACAACTCAGTGACTTGGCCAGTTTCCAGATGGGTGAGACCCATACCTGGGTCAGAGCTGGCTTGCTGCCCAGTGACCTACCTACATGTTCCAAAAAAATTGGTTTTGCATAAATTCAATAGGATTCCAAACTACCTCCCCGTAATAAAACCCTCATATGGATCTTTCCAGCCCTGAAAGCTTTCTGGAGGGTGTGTAATTATGGATGGCACATCCTCATATTTATCCATGTCATTTTGGCTTAAGGTGGAAACCTGGCTAACAGGTGAGTAAAACATTTGCGAACTGAATGATAAAACTGTAGCTGAAAACAGCTCATTCCAGCATGTATACACTTTGCACCCTAAACCTCCTTTTCCGGAAAAATTCTTGAGTTCCATATTTCAAAATGTCAATTTCCACCACAGCCCCCGTGGTGTCTTTCTCCCAGTCCCCAGTGTCAGTAGGTGACCTCGAAGTTCGGGTCTGTTGGGTGCCGTGGGCTGGGAGGCTGCCCGCACCACTCTGTGATGCCAAAGGCGGGTCTGGCTTCTTTTGTGCAGGTGTCGGGTCAGGCGCTGGTTATGTGTACGCCTCTTTGACCACCTCAAGACTGCACCTCAGTGCCCATCCACCTGGCAGGATGCCTGGCTGTCAGCACCCTCCTCCCCCTTTGCCAGGTTAAGCAAAGCACAATCTGGTTCCGTTATGTATGCGCTGTCCACCGTGCAACCCAACCCGCCGGGCACGTCTGTGAGACCCGGGGGCGGTCGCTAGCATTTCCCCGTCCCCAGGCCACCGCGAGGCACGCACCTGCAGCCGGCTCCCGGCGGGGCGGCTTACCTTCTCGTGGGCGGACACGGTGGCCAGACAGCCCCAGGCGCTGGCGTGGGCCAGGAAGCGGGCGGTGCCGGGGCGCAGCCTCGGGCCGCTCTCGCGCCGGTAGGAGAACATCCCGGGCGGCGCGGGGGGCGGCCTGGCGCGGGCGGCGCCGGGCGGGGGCGGCAGGTGCGCGTCCTCCTTGTGCGCGGAGGCCGGGAAGCTGCGCTGCCAGATGCTGCCCGAGTCCTCCAGCAGCGCGGGCAGCGCCTCCTCGGTGGAGGCGCTGTCCAGCTCCTCGTCCACCTCGTTGGTGACGGCCCAGGACACCGAGCTCACGATCACGTAGCCCGCGGCGGGGGACAGCAGGGCGCTGCAGCACAGCAGCCAGGAGAGGCGGGTGGCGGGCCGCGCGGGCCGCTGGCCGCGGCGCACGGACATCTTGCAGCGGCGCGTCCTGCCGCGGGGACCGCCTGGAGCGCGCGGGCGGCCGGCGAGAGCTGCAGCGCCCCCCTGCGCCGGACGCGCGGAACTTCGGGCTCGGCTTCCAACCGCCGCAGGATTCCCGGGCGGGGTCCTCACCCCGGGAAGCCCCCGCCGCCTCACGCCCGCCTTGAGAAGTCCAGGCTCCCCGGAAAGCAGATTCCACTCGCACGCTGCACGTCCTGCAGCCGCCGTGCGCAGAGCCCTCACCGCGTGCCAGGTCCGGGGATGGGCTCGTTTCCTGTTGGATGGCACGGATTCTGCAGCCAGACGGTGGTGGGCGTTCAAATCCCGAATCAACACACTCCCCTAGTCACCAGATTTGTGACCCTGCCAAGTCACTTAACCCGTCTGTGCCTCAGTTTCTTTATTAGAAAAACAAGCAAACCACAGTATCTAGCTCAGAGGGGTGATGGATGGGACAATTAAATGAGTTCACCTCTGCAGAGGCTTAGAACAGTGCGTGGCATGGAGCAGGCGTTATATTTTTGTAACAGACAAAGGTAGAGATTGTTACCATTTTATAGAGGAGTAAACAGTGAAGGTAAGATTAGCACCGAGTCAATCTGATGCCAAAGCCGATTCCCTTGCTCTGTAAGGACAATGACCGTCTTAACACTTTGCTCAGACAGGAATGCATTGCTGCCAGTTCATCTGAAAGCAAAATCAAATGTTTACCTATCAACCAAAGTAAAAGGGCGCAGACACCCAGAGACAAAGTAGCTGGGATGGACGAGGCAGAGAACTGCATGAATGTACCACCGTTTTAAAGCATTCTCTTACTGGTGGAAATTTGGGCTGTTCCCAATAGTACAGTTTTATAGATAGCAACATAATTCTAAGTCATTTACACTTTTGAACCTCTGCTTATGGTATTCCTTTATCTGCTGGTAAGGAGACATATTCTGCTCTAGATTTCCTGCCTAAAATCAAATAGTCCTACTTCTAATTTATTATGGATCAAAGTAACAAGAACTAGCACCAGACTTTTGTAGACATTTTGGCAAATGTTCCATTGTGCAATAACCAGAAGAGAGGTTGTCCACCCTGCCCTCCACCTACCTCCTTCTTTTTCCTTCTCTTCAAAGCCATTTTTCTTTAAAAAGTCTAGTCTCCTCAGTGCACATCAAGCTGGCCTCTTCCCATCTCACCCCAGACACCCTTCCCAGGATGCCCTCTTCCTATTGATAGTCTCAAGGGGAGTTCTGGTATTCTTCTCCCAGCGATCTCATCCGCTCCCGTGGCTCTGCCATCCTTACATACTGCTGGCTTGCCATCTCCCTCCCTCGCCCCCAGAATGATGTGTGCCACAGTCTTGCAGAGGCGGTATAGCAAGTCGTTAAAAACATGGACTGTCTCAAATGACTTCAAATGAATCCACATCCTGTTCTATCACCTACTGGCTGTGTCTGCAAAATAAGGACAGTTGCATCTATCCCTGCGGCCTACGAGGAGCACAGAGCAGACCCGCCAGAGATGCACAGCGGCTTGCTCTTCACATGCTCTGCAGGGAGCTGGGCAAGCCAGGCGGCTGACTCCTTCCGCCAAGGCTCTTGCTCTTGACGGTGAGGGGTTAGGTCTTCCTTTGAGGCTCTGGTGAAGGTGGACGTTTTCCTCCGCCAGCCCCAGCACACAATGTGAAGAAGAAATGCCGGATTCTTACTGTTCATTGCCAGCAGGAAAAAGTCTAAGCTCCTTAATCCAGTGTGTGGGTCCCCTGTAGCCTGGTCCCTGCCTGTATGTCTGTCCCTGTCTGTCCCCACTGCATCTCCCTCCCAGACTCTGCTGCAGCCATACCAGCCTCTTTGTGGTGCTATAGTCAGTGAGCACCCGCATTTGCACCAGGTAGATAATTCAATTAACATTTTGATCCATTTGTATCCCCATTCTTTATCTCTCTGTTCATTCATCAAGCTACATGATAACAATTCAAAAATATTTTGATTAAGAGATAGGACATATGCATCAAATGCAGAAAATACATATGTACAATTTAAAGAATCACTAAAAAGAAAATCTGTTAAAATCACTCAGTGAGGAAATATTACCGTGACCATTACCAGTTCCCCAGAAGCTCTCCATCTGCCCCTCTCCCCAAATCACAATCCCCTGCCTCCTCTCCTGGAGGTAATTACTATCTTGACATTTGTGATACATATTTCTTTGCTTTTCTTTACAGTTTGACTTCCTATATATGCATCCCTCCATGCTATAGATTCATCTTACCTATTCTGAACTTTATATAAATGAAATCATACTTGATGTATTTCTTTTGTGTCAAAATTCTGTTTGTGGGAATCATACTTGTTTTGTTGTTTGTGGCTATATATGGCTGTATAGTATTTCATTGTGTAGCTATAGGACCATTTATTCAAGTACTCTCAGTAGATGTTTTAAAAGGTTTTCTTATTCAGATAGGGTGAGGCCAGCAGATCAAGAGATGACTGCCATGGCAAGGGTCATTTATTCTACTCATAGATCCCAAGAAAAGGGATCTTTGACCAATGGGGACAGGAGCCAAAGGATAAATATTCCCCATTTCCAGGTCACAGGTGGGCAACTCACTTTACACAGTTTCTCAGAGGGTGTCCAGCAGGATTGCGCCCCAGTTGCTCACAGTGCTAACAACTCAATGACACCCCCTTCGAATGGCTTTCCTTCCTCCCTGGTCTAATCATTCTAGTGTGCCCCTCCTGTTCTTCAGGAGTACATCCCAAGATAAACTACCCGAGTGCCAAGTCCTTGTCTAGACCCAAGCTAAGGCGCTGGTACACACATTCAGGGGTTTCTCTAGAGTATATACCTTGTTGGAGGATTGCTGCTTGTGCGCTATAAGTATGCTTAATTTTATTATGTAATGTCAAACTGATTTCCAAAGTGATCGTACCAGTTTCCATTGCTGCTATCACTGTATGAGGGTTTCTACGGCTCCACAGTCTCACCAACACAGATTATTGTTAGATTTTCTGGGTTTTGTCTCCTCCCCCCCGGCTGGTGGATAAGTAATGGTAGAGTAATTTTTATTTTATTTTTATTTTTATTTTTTTAAGATTTTATTTATTTATTTGACAGAGAGAGACACAGCGAGAGAGGGAACACAAGCAGGGGGAACGGGAGAGGGAGAAGCAGGCTCCCTGCCGAGCAGGGAGCCCGACGCGGGGCTCGATCCCAGGACCCCGGGATCATGACCTGAGTGGAAGGCAGGCGCTTAAGGACTGAGCCACCCAGGCGCCCTGAGTAAATTTTATTCTAATGACTAATGTGGTTGGTTGATCACCTTTTCATCCTTTTTTGGCCAATTGGATATCCTCCTTTGTGAAATGCCTTTTAATGTCTTTTGTCCATTTTTATTGGGTGCCTGTGCGTTTGTTGTTGTTGTTGTTGTTGTTGTTGTTGTTGTTGTTTTGTACTGATTTGTAAGACTTAATTTTATTTTCTGTATTCCAGTCTTTTGGTGTTGAAAAGTGCCAGAGCTTGTCTTTGGGTAGTTGTTAATGCTAATATTTTTACCTATCAACTTCACGGGGCTAAGGGAGGCCCAGACAACTATGAAACATCATTTTTGGGTGTGCCTGTGAGGGTGTTTCAGGAAGACATTAGTATTTGAGTTAGTAGATGAGGAAAGAAAATGGGTCTCACCAACAGGGGTGGCATCACTCAGTCCTTGAGGGTCTGAGTAGAGCTGAGACACCTGTCTTCTCCTGCCCTTGGACATCAGCACTCCTGGTTCCCAAGTTTTCAGTTTCAGGCTGGGATTGACTCCACTGACACCCCCGGTTCTCAGAGCTTTGGGCTTGGACCTGGGCTACACCGCTGGTTTTCCTGGGCCTACAGCTTGCAAATGGCAGATCTTGGGCTTCTCAGTCTCCATAATCACGAGCTAATCCATGTTGTTCTATGTGTCAGTAGTGTTTTCCTGTTTATTGGTGACTCATATTCCCTTGTGCGGACATAGCACATTTGTTTATTCATTCAACAGTTGATGGATACTTGTGCTGTTTCCTTTTTTTTTTTTTTTGCCATTATGCATAAAGCTGCTAATAACATTTGCATCCAAGTCTATGTGGGGACACATGTTTTCGTTTCTCTTGAGTAAATACTTAAGAACAGGATTGCTGGGTTGTATGGTAATTATAGGTTTACCTTTATAATAAATTGTCAAGCTTTTTTCCCCAAAGTGTCTATGCCAGTTTGCTTTCCCACTGACAACACATGGCAGTTCCTGTTGCTCTACAGCCTTGGCAACACTTGGTATTGAGTGGCTTTTAATTTTAACCATTCTACTGCGTATGTAGGGATGTTTCACTGCAGTTTTAATTTACATTTCTCCAGTGATATTAATATTGGGCAGCTTTAAAAAAATAAAAAAATGGATAAAACTGAGCAAATCTCATGAAGAAGTTAAGCCATTATGTCCAACTGCTCAATAAAAATATGTATTCTCACCAAAAAAAAAAAATTGGACAGATTTTTATGTGCTTACTTACTTTTTGTCTACAGTGAACTTTTTTGTCTTTGGTGAACTCTTTACTCATTTAAAAATCTGGTTGTGTCTTCCTATTGTTGAGTTGTGAGAGTTATTTTATATATTCTCCATACCAGTCCTTTGCCAGGTATGTGTTTTGCCAATATTTTCTCCCAGTTGCATTTCATTTTCTCCCTGAATTTCCATTTTCTTACCAGTGTCTTTTGAAGAACAAATATTTATAATTTTGATGACATCTAGTTTATCAATTTTTTTCTTTCATGGTTTGTGCTTTCTGTATCATTTCTAAGAAATCTTTGCCTGACCTAAGCCCATGAAAAATATCTTTGATGTTTTATTCTAGAAGCTTAATAGTTTTATCTCTTACATTTAAGTCTATAATCCATTTAAAGACATTTTCTGTATATGGGTGAAGTTCATTTTGTCCCTGCACAGATCAAATTGATCCACCACTCTTTGTTAAAAAGACTAT